TTTTTGTGGATTATTTTGAACGCTGTTGTTGTCTTTCTTATTTTTGGAACTTTGTGTGTTTTAATATGTTGCCCAAGCTCACCATGACACACAATGTTTATTGTAAAGGGAATAGGTTCTCTCAACTAAGGACGCTGAGTAAACAAGTGTTCAGAAAGATAAAACTGAAATCAGATCAGCTCTGATTTATTTATATCATCTGCCGGTTCATTCTTAAAAAGAAATGTCACCTACAACAATAGGGAAAACTGCAACTACAAACAACAATGAGAGCCATTTGATCTAAATATCAAAAGATGATGGAAGCCATTGCAGTGACGTAGGCTGGGATTTATATTTACAGTGTGCTGCATACTCCATAAAATACAACAGTGTTCCATAGGAGTATGTTTGCAAACATGCGTGGCTTAAAGGTCCCATGTCATGCTGTTCTGGTTATTACCCGTCCCCTTGTGTGTTATGAAGGTTTGTATGCATGTGAACGGTCTGCAGAGTCACAGACCCTCAAAGTACACCCTGTAGGGAGTAAAACTCTAACACAGAAAATACCTGTCTATGCTGCCCCAGAATGCCTCGTTGGACATTCCTCATTTTCCATTGTTTGCTTCCTGGGTTCTGTGACGTGTGAACACCCAAATCAACAACAAATGACCGGATTGGCCCAAATGGACCAATCCGCGGAGCCCCTCCCACACCAGGATCCCTTGGCTAACTAACAGGGAGTCCCCATTGACTTGCATAGAGCTCCCTGATTGGTAATAGACGAGTTGGGCTGGTGGAGAAATGCTCTCCGCAGACCCATTCTCACAGCGTTAGAAACCTTTTTCTTACTCAATATCAAGACACACTTATTGTTTTTACTTCGGCTGTGAGTGTTTGTGTGTGCTCAGGATGAGTTTCGCTTGTTCTCGCTGTATATCGCCGAACCGGAAACCTGTCCGCTCCTCGCAGCAGCGAGCCTCGCAACATCCCGACCAATCAGAGCACACTGGGCTCACAGGGATGGGGGGGGGAGGAGCTCCAACAAGCCGTTTAGGACAGAGAGTGAATACACATACTTTACAGAGATGCTGTATGAGAAACCAATGTGAGTTTGGAACATTGCACAATATAAATCTATTCTAGTAGACCTCAACAATGGAAATATGATCAGTAGAAATGGCCATGACATGGGACCTTTAAGGAGGGGATTTCCGTTATTAACTATCAACCAGATATTTTTTGGCCTTTTTAGCGTTTTCGTGCTTTCGGTTAAAATTATTTTCAAGAGATCCCGACACCTGGGTGGAATCTGGGAAAAATATAAACGCTGTCAGTATTTCAGAAAAGACACATCATGTAAAAACCCTTAATACTGACCCGGCCTTTCTCGACCTCTCGTGTCGTCATGACGATCACCCTGGTTTTCTCCTGCCACGCCATCTGCCAGAAATCGTTGACAGTTGTCGCCAGGCAACCCTGGGTGGCGATGTAAACTTTAGGTGCGCTGCTCTCCGACAGTTTGTCCGACAGTTTGTTCTGGGGGAAAACAACAACAAATACAGGAATAAAGGATTGTGGGAAACGGTATTTTGATCTCACTGTCTGTACCTATGGTCTGTACACACAAACTGAACGATTGACAATAAAGTTGACTTTGACTTCGAAAGAATAGTAAACATTTCTGAGGATTATTGTTGTTGGGATTTTGTGGTTTTTTGTGTTATTTTGAGACTTACTTTCACGTAGTTGGCGTTGATGTAATCTGAACCCACGACCTCGGGGTCCATGTCCTGCAGGGCGACCCGGGTCTCGTTGACTTGGTTGAAGAAGAAGAACAATTGGTTAATGTCAGCGATCAAAACGTCTCATGAGATTTGGTTAATGAGGAAGATTAAACGATTGGAACTCACAGGGAAGAATATTCTTGTATCTGTTTTTGCTCTTGTTTTCTGGCCTCTGACCCTCCTCTCGGCTCTTCTTCACCTTCGCCTCGAACTTTTGAAGAGCCTGGCGGGACAAAGAGACGACTGTGTTACACCAAGTGTGCCCTAAATTGTTACTAATAATATATAGTATGTGTATTTTATACTAATTGTTTGCCATTAGTATATAAGAGAGGAACATATATGACAGTATTCCATTAAAATCAAACTATGACTCTGCAACTACCAATAGTGTAAAGTGTCCACACTGAAGATTAGACAGTTAAGCAATTAATGGATCAGTCGTTTGTCAGAAACATCCTGATTTTGAGGCTTCGTTGTTGTTTTGATAAATGTCTTGTTTCATTAAATAAACGTCATTACATTTTGGACCACTCTAGGAAAAAAATGAATTAACGATTAGCCCTTTTTTTTTACAATAATCTGACATTTTGTTGGCCCAATTAATGAGAAAAACATCTAGTCAACAATATTCTAGTTTAGGAAAGTAGTCAACACCACCTGCATTTAATAAATAGTCAAATAAGCTATAAAAGTGGCTCTTTAACTTAATGTCATTCTGGTTTGTTATGAAGTGTTTTAAGTATCATTTCTCTTCCAGTGCACTCTTTACTCAAATCCTGCTGTGACTTATTACGCAATCTCCACCGCCACACGATGGTAGCATTGCACCTGTAGTCCTCCACAGTCCCTGAAGTCAGGAAGTGACTTTATACACACTCAGACTGTCCTAAAAAGTCTGAAGCATACTTTACTTCCCCCACTTCAGAGCACCACTGTGGTTCTTGTATCACAGACAAAAGCATCAATTTGATGGCACCTTAAAAAAAGGAGTAGCTCTACTCATCTCATTGTTCCTGTATAATGACAACAAAGGATTCTATCTATCTATCTATAGGAAACATGGGGTCAAATCTTACGTCAAACTCCTCCCAGAATCCGGCCTTGGTCTTCTCGCCCTCGCCCTCGCCCTCCTGCGGCTGCTGCGTCAGGTCCAGCTGCTTCACCCGGCTGTCGATGTCTGCCGCGTTCACCCGGGTGGAGAAGTACGGCTGCAGAGAGGGGAAGAGACAGAGAGCATGTTCAGATTGTTTATCTTATTTCACATATTATTGTTATTAACACGGTTGTTTAAAGGTCCACTGTTATACCACTTTGAACAAATGTGCTTTGAAAAATACTGCTCATGTCAATAAAGCTTCTTGGAGTTTGAATGTGAGAGAGAGAGACACCAACTAAACTTCAATGTGATTATTCACAAAAAAATTTAAAAAAAATATTTATTTTTTATTGTTATTTATCTATTTTTTATCAACACAAAGACGATACTTTTTGTAATTACCTGGGCTGTTTTTATTTATTTTGTATTATTATTATTTATCTATTTTTTATTAACACAAAGAATATACTTTTAGTAATTACTTGGGTTATTTTTCTAATGACTATTTTTAGGATTCAAGGCACAGATATTTGTATGTATACTACATATAATGTTTTTTGATGGTATTTCTAACAAAGTACATGTATGGTCAAAATTACAAATATATATATTACATTACATGTTAGACACTTTTATCCAAAGCGACTCAATACTGTGGAGCGATTTGGGGTGAAGTGTCTCAGGGACACAACGACATGCTGACTGCAGTGGGGTTTGAACCTGTGGTCTGATACGAACACCAACGCACTAGTCCACTGCACCACAAGCCATATTACCATACATGGAAACACATACACACACTGTTAGGTAACTTAAATGCTGTGTTCTTGGCAGTACGGTCTAAAGAATGGCAATAAAGCGGATTTGACTGGGCTTGAGTGAGGGAAACATCTAATGAATAACACTCTAGTGACGAACACAACATCATCTTCAGTAGGTCAACAGAGCTGTTTCCTATCTGTGGGTTGCGCTGTTCAAATAAATGACCTGTTTCCGGATGTTTCACAGCGGACTGACGCTCACTTTGGATCTCATTCTGACATGTTTTATCATTTAGAAAATATGCACCTGTTTGAGATGCACCCAGTTCCCGGAGATCTCCTCGATGCCTTTACGTTTATAAAACTCCACCAGGTCTGTGAGCGTGTCGAACATCTCTGAACCGCCCACTGTGTACCTGTCGTTCTGCACACACACGGGGAAACATGACTCGTCAGGGAACACACACATCTATTTATACGTTGGTTTGATTGGAACAGATGACAGTTAAAAACGCTGCAGCTGGAAAAAGTGCTCATTAAGATCCGCAGTCGTTAGGCAGGAGGAAATAACACAGATAAAGGAAGTACAGATAAACAATACATAAGTAAAGACTTCAATTGTACTACATGTCAAGTCAAAAAATACTTTAAGCCATTATAGGGATACATAAACTGAGAAGCAATCAAAATAAAAACAAGGGTGCTTCAATAAAATAAGAAAACCCACAATGTGTGCTTTTTATTAAGATTGAAATGAATAGGATATTAATTAGTGTTTTGTGACACAGACTTCCAGCCAACACTTAAAGTATTTAATACATAGTGAGTTTGATTGTGATTGAATTCTATCCAACACATTAATCCAATAATTAAAAGAGTTTTACTGCTGATCAAATGAATGTGCGTTGTGTAAACTTTACACTGATGTATTTGCTGACACCTCAGAGCTGAGTACGGTTTGGAAACTGACCTAATCTTCTCCACACGCTCATGAAAAGCCGTTTGTGATCGCTCAGCTAATCTCAGGATAATCTGCGGGACCTCGGCGTCGCACACAAATAATGGCTTCCATTTAAATTGCGTCTGAGCGGTGTTTCCGACGAAGGGTTAAAATAAACAAAATGCAAAAGCCCTGGTGCTGACGGAAAGACACAATCTATGGAAATGAGTTTCAGAGGACGGCTGTGTGACCTGCTGCGAACATCATAACCACACGTTTGATAAGAGTTACTGGTGAAAATCTAATATCGCAGATTCTTTATCGTTTCATTTCCTGAGCGAGGCCAAAGGTCGTCAACATAAGGCTCTTTGAAAATTCAGAAAGTACTCAAAAATAAAATGTAGAAGGCAGCTTTTATTCAAATCCGAGGCAAATGTGGTCGATATTTTGAAATGACAGCGGAAAACATATTTTTAAACAAAATAGTTAAAATATTTTCCACTTTTGTAATGTTTTATTTATTTATTTGGATTTATTTGCATTATTTTATAGTATTTTTTTTTTTTCCGTCTTACCTTTATTAATAGGGTTTTTACTTTTGGATTATTTTATTGCACTTGTATTTCTTCCCCACTTTTACTGGTTTTAATGGAAGCATTTGGATTATTCTATCGTGACATGCTTTAACTAAAAATGAATGTTTTAGTTTTTGTTTTTGTTGTGGTGTTTGAAACGTTGATATTTGTGTTTCTACAAAGTAAAACTGGGCCTGACATTTATTACCAATAGAGTTGAAATATGAGAAAAAAGTATTGTATTGCAGAAGACAGGGGAACTGAGTACACACTTCAGAGTGTACTACACAACTGTGGGAATACCCCGCAGTATTTCACATGAAGTCAAAGCCTATTTCCATGCACCCGTTATCGTGCATGGGACACACACACACACACACACACACACACACACACACACACACACACACACACACACACACACACACACACACACACACACACACACACACACACACACACACACACACACACACACACACACTCTCCTACCTGACACATGATCTTGATGTGGGACACCCTCTTGGTCCCCGTCTTGCTCATCTCCTCCGTCAGCACCGACAGGACGAAGTCTCCAGGCTTGGACAGAGACTCTCTCACCAGAAAGGTCCCCGGGTCGTCCCGCACACACAGCAGCTTCTCTGCATTGGGCCCTGAGAGGTGACCGTGGTACCACCTGAGAGACACACACACACACACTGCTGTTATACACTGGGTACACATCTCTGAAGATATTCCTGCCCTGAGCGACAGTTCGGTTGCTGCTTTGAGGTGCTGTGACCTGCAGAAATTCAATTCAAGGCTTTATTGTTATTAGCTACAGTGTAGATATGGCAATGAACAACCGAAGTCACAGGCTCCTCCAACAGTGGGACATATACGTATATAGGACAAAGAACAAGTCAAACGGATAAAATTGTGCGAGAGAATGTTTTGAGATGTGCAAGTAAATACAAATAACATAGAAATAGTGCAAGAAGAGTCTATACATATATATATATAAGTAAATAATAATATAATATAAAGATGAATAATTAGCAAGATGCAAACAGATGAATGTTATGGTGTTTAATGGTCTTAAAAGTTCTTAAAGCATTTCATGACATTCTGTTTATTCATATTGTGTATTTGATAGTGACGCCATTTTTTATTCATGCCCAGTGTTTTTTCGATATGCTGATGTGATAAAAAAAATCATTAAAACAAATCGAATTGGGACCAATAAAGAATATCTAATCTAATCCAATGCAATGAGATGCACAGCTCCTCCTCTTCAAATCAATATAATGCTCATATGTAACTAATTGAATTGTCAGACTCTACTTANATTTTCTTTATTTATATTTTTTTGCGTACTCACTTTTCATAATAGCTTTTTGAAATCCTTTAGTTTTCTCTTTGCCTCTTTTTTTACAACTGAATTGCTCTAAGTGTGTTTATGAAATCACCCGAACACAATAAATCAAATTCCTTGTTTGTAAAAACCCTTGGAATAAAATTAGAATCTGATCATAATGATACCTTCAAAGGAAAACTTCACCTACAAAATGACTATTTATAATTCAATAACTCACCCAGTGTTAATTTAACTCTTAAAGAAAACTCAGTTAATAAATAATCCAAAAGCGCATTGAAGTAAATTGGGGCTGCCTTTGACTCACAACTTAAAACATACAACCCAAGTCTGATGTATTCAGTCGTATGCTCAATACAGTTTCCCACACACATGCATGAACTCTAAACCCTCCCTATTTAAAACACTTCTGCAAAAACCTTGTTTCACTTGCGCAGGCGCACTACTCCTCGTATATTAAACAATAAGGTTGAAGAGATGTTTTTATATTAGCTTTCAAAACACTGGATAAATGAGACACGTGTTGTTTGAGAGATTAACACAAAATAGGTTTTAACATAGATTTTCTCTTGCCCTTATTTCGATTTTCTTTAAGGGTTTCTTTCGCTGTGGAGGCATGCAAGAATTCAAAGCAACACGCGGCAAGTAGAAGATATCGAACTGGTTCTTTTGTAAGTGAAGTACTCCCTTTTCCATCTGGTGAAATGCATTTAAATGTCCACTACCTGCATGATGCAATAATACATGCTAACACAGGAAACTAATATACAAATGGTCATTTTGGGGGTGAGGTATTCCAACAAAGAACAAGCAGTCTTCTTACTGTATGTGAGCCTAGTTGAATGTTTATCTGTGAATAGCGTGTGTTAAAGTGCATTCACGGCTAAGCGGTTGTCTGCCTCTCACTGATGTGGTGCACGAGACCGTTCCTCTCCACACACTGAGCACAAATAGAAAGCCACAGCAGAATCAGGTGCATTCGTCGTATACGAGCAGTTAAAAACAGAAAGTACACATGTTGCTATTACAGGCCGACATATTTCTGTCCCCCGACGTACTCTGTCTGTGTGTGTGTGTGTGTGTGTGTGTGTGTGTGTGTGTGTGTGTGTGTGTGTGTGTGTGTGTGTGTGTGTGTGTGTGTGTGTGTGAAGTGTGAAGTGTGAAGTGTGTGTTCAAGAGTGAAGGCTCACTCGGTCAGGTTGGGCTGTGACTTAAATTTAGGCACTGTTCTCGATTTCTTCTTCTAAACTTCCTGTTATGCGGTCGGAAAATTTCTGATGGCAGATTTCGTGGCTGAAGAGGACAGATTATTTATAGCCTTCGCACACACACACACACACACACACACACACACACACACACACATACACATACACATACACATACACATACACATACACACACAGACACACACACACACAGTGTCACAGTTAACACGTTGCATGGAGCACCTGCAGACTAAAAAGCAAAAAAAGAAAAGTTCTGTCCATGCACCTTTGCAGAAGATGAGGGACAGCTTGTGCAAGGGAATCATTTATTTAAAACTGTAAAATAAAATTAAAAAAGGCAACAATTAAACTATGCACATCCAAGATTAACACGCAATCATCCACCTGCAATAAAGTGCCTTTAAATTCAACAAACTAATCTTTCCTCTTTACTGAGAAGAGATAAGCCTCCAGATACATGACATAAACGCTGACCTGCTTCTGTGCGCGTGCATGTGTGTGTGTGTGTGTGTGTGTGTGTGTGTGTGTGTGTGTGTGTGTGTGTGTGTGTGTGTGTGTGTGTGTGTGTTTTAAGATGAGAGACTAAGATTGGTTGAGATGAGGAAGAGGCAGCCAGCGAGTGAGCAAGAACTCGATGGAGTGTGCAATAAGAGGAAGACACGCCGGGTCTGGCCACTGCTTTCAAATGTGTCAAAACTTAAAGTTTCCAACCGCAGAAACAAAAGGGAAGTTAGACAACTGACAGAGAGAGAAGGACGAGGGGGGGCAGAGCTTCCAGCAAGGGTGAAGTACACAGTCACACACACACACATGCACACACACACAGTCACACACACACATGCACACACACATGCACACACACACATGCACACACACACGATAGAAAGTCCTCCTTGACTCATAAAAGCAGCTCATGCCGATGAGCTTATCAGGTGGACATTAACCTACTTTAAGCAGTTGCACAATGTTTCTAGCTTATAGAAAAAGGTCCATTAATAATCAAACGTATGCAGTGAATTTAAATAGGCATTGTGAGCTAAATAGAATAAAAAGTATAAGGATAAATGGAGGTTTTTTAAAGTGCAAACAGATTGAGATTTGTATCTTGTTCACGGAAACAGTCTGGAGAAGTATTTGATGTGTTTACAGATGTTGTGGAAATAATCTAGAGACTATATTTAGCAAACAGAGATGCTTACGAGTTTCTGAAAGCTACGATTACAAACAACTACATTAAAAGTGCTTTAAGTCCTATATGTCAAATTACATTTTTTACTTTGTGTATATGTTGAGTTAAAAGCTGCTTATGTTCAGTTTGAGGGGATTTAGTGAAAAGGATGAGTGCAGAAAAAGTTAGGTGTGTTACTTAAAATCATAAAACAATCTCAAAAATCGAAACAGTGAAGTTTCACATAAAATAGAAACACGATTATTCTTCACAAAAGGATGTTTTCTGATGTTGAATATAAACTCGTATTCTAACTACAGCTGACAGCCCTCTGGAAAAGCGTTCTGTGCAACAACGAAACAGCCACTTCACTTAATGTGGAAGTGCTCTCGTCTCCTTTTGGCGAGTGGTTGCTTCATCTATTTCCAGTATCTGTGTGTGTTGAGAAAGAGGTCGAATAGGTTATAATTAAGCATGTCTTCCATCATGGCAGGAGTCAGACAAAGCCTTTGATTCAGTAAGCAAAAGGAGTATTCATTATTAACAGAAATCCATTTAAGATCTGTTACAAATTGCATAAAGATTGAAGACATTTCTCTTAAATATAAGAGGAAGTAAGAGTTGAAGATGTCCCGCTCCTTTTTGGTCACATTCATGTTGTTTATTGGTTTGTGTTTATGAACTAATTGGTGGTGTGAAGGTTTGTTCTGTTATCTATTCCTCTATGATTATATCGTTGTGTTGCATACATCACTTTTTACTAAATCAAATATTTGTTCTTTAGATGTTTGAAAATTCTGCTTTTTTAATGAAGGTGATAAGAACAGATAACATTTTATTCAACCTATCAACCATTAATAATGCTTGCACGCAGAGCGTTTAAACCGATCTGTTGGAGATATTTAACTTAAAAAATGTGGAAATATACAAATGTTTCCATCTTGAATGCAGCAGAGGTTTAAAGTCGAACCAAATGCACAACTGAACTTAAATGAAACACACAAATCAGTATAAAGTATAGTCTCCACGGCTTTGAACTCTCGGGTCTCACTGACTCGCAGAGCGACAAACACGCTATTATTAGACCTAAAATGTATTTTCTAAAAGCTTCTAATAAAACACCTTCACCCCTCGAGGAAAGTATGAACCTCCATGGAATACCACGGTGAAAAGGACAATTATTATCCGCAGTAAATAAATAACGAGAGGAAATAAAGCTTGTCATAGTTTAATTAAACACTGAACTAAACTAAAGTGTAGGTGGAGGCGGCTGGGTGGTGTGTGTGTGTGTGTGTGTGTGTGTGTGTGTGTGTGTGTGTGTGTGTGTGTGTGTGTGTGTGTGTGTGTGTGTGTGTGTGGCATAGCATTACTATACTTGTGGGGACCTACATCTGTTTACACAGTCACGTGTGGGGACTCGCCATAACCATGTGTTGGTTAAGGTTAGGGTAAGTCTCTAGGAAGTGCATGTAAGTCAATGTAATGTCCCCTGAAGTGATGTATACATGGTGTGTGTGTGTGTGTGTGTGTGTGTCTGTGTGTGTGTGTGTGTGTGTGTGTGTGTGTGTGTGTGTGTGTGTGTGTGTGTGTGTGTGTGTGTGTGTGTGTGTGTGTGTGTGTGTGTGTGTGTGTGTGTGTGTGTGTGTGTGTGTGTGTGTGTTCAATATTAACCTACAGGGAGAATAGTGAAGTACATTTACTCAATTACAATTTTGAGTTACGTGTACTTTACCTAAATATTTCCATTTCGTACTCCTTTATACTTTTATTCCACAACATTGTGGAAGCCAATATTTTAATGTTTTCCTCTATAACAGCTTTATTTATTCGTAGATTTAAATTGTTATTATTAGCTAATTCAAACCAAACATAAAATAATAAATACACTATGTCATATAATTATAGCTTAAAATATCTAGCAGAAGAATACACCGTTTTTAAAATCAGCTCCCCTTCACCAGCTGTGATGAACACAATAATCATAATGCAGTAGTGTGTATGATATGAAATGGCATAACGAGTACTTTTACTTTTAGTACTTTTAGTATACGTTCAGGCCAATACTTTTGTACTTTGATTTTAAATGCAAGACTTTTACTTGTAACACAGCATTTTGACATGTTATCATTGTTACTTCAGCTTTCTTCCACCTCTGCTTCTTAGCTCTAGCTAGCTCACAAAATGCTACATTTTACAAATGAAATACGTAACCTTATGTCGGCACAAGAATACAAATAATGTGGTCATTCAAGTTATTATATTATCATCCTGAGGGGCATACATGTTTTTAATTTAATGGAAATCTATCCTGCCTTTTAAATGGAGTATTTTTACAATTTACAAATGTTTTTTAGTTTATTTTGTATATTTCAATTTGGTGTAAATTCTTTAATCTTAAAATGTCTTATAATTGTTATATTTTGGACCTTATTTTACAACTTATACACCAAAGCAATCTCCTTGCATGTGTAAACGTACCTGGCTATAAACCTGATTCTCATGGTTCTTGGTGGAGGAAGTATGCAGATGTTTTTCATAATGTCATTTCATAATATGTTTCTTAATGCTCTTAATGTCCTTGGCGCCTTTCAGAGCACCTAAGGACACCGTACAATTCATAAAACATTCTAAGGAAAGGTTTAAGACGGGACAAAAGGACCGTAACAGGGACCATGTAGGGAAACAAGTAGCACTACAGTGAGCAGGGAGAGGGCACCCACCTCTCAGTGGTGGGGTCGGAGCAGTTCAGAGGGTATTTGAGCTCGATCAGGGTGGAGTCCTTGTCCTGCAGGATGCCGTTCTCCTGCGTGTAATACTCCACCAGCTCGGACAGCGTGGCGAACTTCTCCCCGCCGTACAGGTCGTAGTAATCCCCCGTGTTCTGGATCCGGATGTGAGTCACCTGCTCGCCCACCCTGAGGGGAAACAACCCAAGAACATACACGTAAACCCCAGTTTGAAATCAAATCCGCCGTTCTTAGGAGCGGCAATATCTAAATATTTGACTTCATACCTGATTGCTTTCCTGCAACCAACCAACCTACTTTCACATTCAATTGTTGAATAATTCCTTAGAATAAAGTTAGATAATCCCAATTCAGAGCAAAACCTCCCAGATTACAGTCAAATAAAACATCTCTATGACAGGAAGGGTAGTTCAAACTGCATTAAGATATTTCTTCACGGTTTATTTGCTCTTTAGTAAAAATTCACACGGCGCACAAACGACACAAATCAAATCCTTCAATTGATATTTGATTCTTACAGATTATACTGCTGAAAATGTGTTTGGAATAAAGTAGCTTAATCTGTAGTTTCGGTTTCTAGGTCCTCTTTTATATCATACTAAATAAAATACTGCCTGCCTTATAATAATAATATTAATGTGGAGTTACCGCTAATCTAATTTAAGACCAGGAAGCAGAGTATTAATGTTTATGGTTTACTGTATTCATTAGATAATCCCTCATCCTGCCCGGTGATAACACTGAGATCAAAGTTACAGACCTGCTAACCTTGGAAGTTCATTTATGCATTTACTTTTTTAGCATGAACAGTGTGAAATATACAATGAGAAAGGCAGTCATTTTAATATGACTTTTTTAGTGAATTTCCCTGCCTCAAGGCGACAGGGGGAGAAGTACATACAACAGGAAAAACAATAATTATGTATTCAGTTTAAAGACTCCAGTTGATCTAATGCTTTTGCCTTTGGGACGTAGGATGACGAGACATGTAAACACGTGTTGTGTGAGTCTTCATTCTTGCACACACACTCTACACACACACTCCACACACACACACACACACACACACACACACACACACACACACACACACACACACACACACACACACACACACACACACACACATCATTTCTTGTGTTCTTTCAAATGTACGTAGAAGAGCCATGAGATGCGCTTACAGAATTTAAAATAGAGTAGGATGCATTCTCCTCTGTGGAAATATAAAAGCAGAGATGGCAAAAGTACACACATCCTTTCCTCAATAAGTACAGATACTCGTGTTTAAAAATACTCTGGTGAAAGTAGAAGTACTGACTAAACTTCTTTACTCAAGTAAAAGTAAAGAGGCTTTGAAATGTACTTCAGTAAAAAGTACCCATAACTAGCAGCTGTTTTAAAGAGTTCCTGACCTCCCTTTATATTAATAGAACAATAATGTCATTGTTAGCTAATGAATGTTTCCATGGTGAACAACGGCAACATGACAACGTTTTCATTGGTCCCTCTTCTTTAGAGAAGACCAGGAAATGATGGATACACGGATCGTGTTCAAATCAATACACGCATGATCTAATATTCCCACCAAACACACATTCAAAACAAAGGAACAGCCTGGAAAATGTGAGAAGTAAATAGTACAGGTATTTGTGTGTTCAACATGTAAGAAGTAGATGTCAGGTTTTGAGTTTCAACATGTAAGAAGTAGAAGAGTACAGGTATTGAGTATCAAATGTAAGAAGTGTGGGAGGGTTCACATGAGAAAAGTAAAATGAAGTACAGTAATGAAGTATTGTTTAACATGTAAAAGTAAAGTACATATTTGAGTGTAACATGTAAGAAGTAGAAAGAAAAAGTACTTAATACAGTAATGAAGTATTTGTACTCCACTTCTTCACACCTCTGGATAAAAGAGATATTTGTGGTGCTTCAGCTTCATT